TCCATTACTTTACCTGTCTCTGACATAGTTCATTTTTCTCCTGGTAATACTAAATACAGGTCTTCCAGGGATAATAATTCTCTTCAGGCAGTAATTAAGCAAAACTGCACTGCTACCTTGGCATATAGCACTTAACCAAATCTGATTTGAAGTTTCTCAGAAAAAGATTCCTCCAAACCTTTCCAAGAACTATGCTTGTGGATTCCAAGCCCTTCCTCTCCAAATTTTTCATCATTTTACTAGCTTCGAGAAGAGGTAATGCCTGAGTCATTTGCACGACTTCTGCTGGATCCTGTCCCAACCCAGAGCCTAATTACAGACATGAGTAATTGCTGAAATGAGTAAGTACTACAGGAGCTAAAGAGGCTATTGATCTGACTGGAATTACTCACACAAATGTAAAGGCAGCACAGAACGCTTCCTGCGGATTTCGCAAAGAAAATTTTCAACGGGTCTCTACTGAGGAGTCAAGGTGTTTTTCCTCTCCAGCTCAAGCAGGGATTAATCTCAGAAGCAGACCGTGTCACTCCTGAAACACGTCCCACTGAAAAGCTGTTACTCCATTTTTGAATGCAATCATCTTTGACAAATTGCTTCTACACTCCTCGCGCTTCCTCAGGTCATCCTCCAGCTTCAGACAGACCCGAGGGCTCTGCTCTTCACAGTTCAGTTTGATCTGTCGGAGAGGGATTCTCCTTTCAGGAGCTCCAACCCTTCCCAAGCACACCTACAGCCCCTGGCTTCTTGCAAAGGCTAGACCCCCTTTAAAGCAAGGTCCCCAGCTAACAGGCCTGCATCCGCAGCAGTTCTGCGTGAGTCACAGAAGCCCTACGTGCGCACCAGTGAGTTAATTCTCCCCATTTTAAAGGCTTTTCTACGAAACGAGATTTTATTTTCTTTTTTTCCTGGCAATTTTCGTCAATCAGCACACACTGTAGCGACCAATTAGCAGGCAACGTTCTCCTTAGGCCTTGACCTCTCATACACGTTACATTTACACGATGCATGGATATTGCAGTGGTTCAAAGGGCATACATAATGCTGCTGTAATGAACTTCTCCATGAAACAGAGCCCCTTCCATCCTCTACCCCATTTTTGGCTATAAGATAACACACACAACCGAGCCAGCTTTTTCATATGCTAGGGCTAGTTATTTATAGCTGACTGTTAGGAAGCAACTTTCCAAGGCGCAGACTTTTAGCCAATTCTGCTCATTATACGAGAGGCCAAATGGCAAACCATTAAGCGGTTCCAAGCCACCTCTCCTATCGAACGCAGTGTCATTAAACTGGCTTTCTGCACGTCCTCAGACTGAGGAAAGGTATAAACACAAAGCGCTTCATCTTCTAGGCTACGCTTAGCAGATTTCAAATACAATTAGCACTTACTAAGATGACATAAATCCCAAATTGGAAGTTGTAAAGTCTGGAAACAGTCCTGTTATTTTACACATGCAGAAAATGTTAAGAAGGAAACTTTAAAAAGAGCAAACACATTTTCAGAAGCTTCTGATTCTGGAGTGCTTTGCACTCCTAAGAACATAAAGAAAAAATATGTTGCAAATTTAACTAAAAAAATACATCCCTAACATGAAAATGTAAGGGTGACTGCACAAGGCTGCACCACAGATCCAACTAGGAGAATGTCTTGTCTCAAAGAGTCCAAATGGATACCTAGGAAAGACTGTAAGGACAGAATAAGCAGGCGTGTTTCCTGAGTACTCCAACAATTGGTGGCTCTTGAGCCAGACATTGGTTCTTTACAGAAAATAAACCTCAGTGAATTTGTCCCCAGGGACTGTGCAGTGTCCCCTTGAGCCTGTATGACTGCTTAGCGCACCGTGATGTCCACTTCTCAGGTAGCTTGGCTCAGTACGAGGAGCTGTCCCCACCTGCCTGTCTCATTCCTGCTTCCTGCCAACTCGATTCCCCTCAGCTCTGGGGCTGTTACTTTTCCACATCACATATAATATTTTATATTCCCACTCCGCTATCTCATTGCCATACTGAAGCATCCTTAGTCATTCCTTCCATGGAAACTGTGCTGGGTCTCTAATGAACTTCACCACCCCTCTCTGAACCGTCTCCTGTTTTCTGATCTCTCAGATGGCAAATAAGAATTGCACAATTATTTGACATATTGAAGCTATGGATTTATACTGTGGCATGATGATACCTTCAGTCCTTTCCCAATAATTCCCAATACTTTTTTTTTTTTGACCATATAAAAGCGTTTTCATAGAAAGGCATCTAAGAGCCTTAAGATCTTTTTCTATTACGTCCTAATGCCAGTAACTTTTTTTTTTTTAACAAACACAAACAAAATACAAATCCCAACCTAATAAGCATTTAGAAATAGCTTTTCTTTCTTTCCTTTTTTTTTTTTTTTTTTAAGAGGAAAACCAGAGAGAATTCTCTAACGGTTTGTCTCTGTTACAATATGTGTAAAACATCATAAGGAAAGTACATAGTAACTGCAGAAGCTTGTTTGCTGCATTACCATTGAGCTTGCTAGACCTTCAGAAACAACTCAAAAACCCTGCAAAGGACTCTAAAGGAAGAGTTTTGAGGCCTGCAATTCCCCCTATAAAGAAGAAAAAAAATCAAGTTTCCTTAAAGCCCCAGAAAAAAAAAGAAAAGAAAAAGTCCCACAAGAGGGTAAATCATATGCTCATACATCATTAATTTCTTATTTCTAATTATTTTGAAAACTGACACTATCCAGAAAAACAGAGAAAAGGCCACAGCTCCTTGCAGTCACTATAATAAATGATGTATCCATTTATTAAGTCATGCTCTGACCAGGTCTGGTAAAGTATTTCATTTTCTGACAACAGATGAAATAGGCACAGTGATCTGTGTGGCAAACATCACACCTCTGAAATAGAAAGGATTTTTGTTGGAGACAACTGTATTTGTAGCCTTAAAGTAACTCGTTGATGTAAATACATAATGGAAGAACCACAAATACAGTAAAATTAATGCCAATATAATTATCTACTAAATTAATTATTATTATAATAAAAAAATGTATTCCCTGACAAGTAAAAGCACGTGGTCTCATTTTTGCCACCACCACTACTCCCCTTCCCACTGAACAGGGAACAAACAACCTATGGGACAGAGGCAGTGAGTAACAGCTTATCTTACGTACACACACGATGCCAGAAACTGAAGTTAGCCAATAACAAACACTAAGGTTTAGCTGAATTGCCAGCTTGCTCTTTGTGAACTGTCCTGCACGAGTCCTTCCAAAGTACAACAGGACTTCTCCAAAATTAGAGAGGCCTGGAAATTATCAAACCTGTTACTGCTGCAGTTATTTCTGGGCACACAACAGAGACAGAAAAAAGAAAAACAATGAATTATCAGCATGAAGAGGAAAATGTAACCTGATGAGTTTTAGTCCAAACCTCCCTGCTTGTGCACATAACCTGCACTCAGGAAGCAGCCCCCTGAAAGCAGCTCCTGTGTGCTTTCAGCAGACCAGCAGGGAGACGGAGCCCTGCCCAGGGTGATCCTGCAGGACCCCCATGATGCTATCTGGTGTCCAGCTGTGCGTGGACAGGCACTGGAAGCCACCAAAAGAAAATGTCCCTCTCCTGTGACTACCCAGCCAGCTGACATGCCTGGCTTCTTCTGACTGCTGTTGGGTATAACTAGGTGGAGTGACTCCACCCAGATCACTTCTGTAACTATTAACTAAGGTGTATCAAGGACGTTGAAGGAGTAGGGTAAAGACAGAGAAACTAGTAAGGCTATTTCAGACATGCTAAGAAATTTGCTTTTAATGAAGAAGTCACCCGGCACATCAAAATTAAAAATCTGCATTTTGATTGATAAAATCCCATAGTTCTCTGAAGGAAAAAAAAAATGAAATCAACAATATTAATCTGTGAAAGTTTACCTTGACTTCTTTCTGTTTCCCAAACTATTTTCCCATTTCTTTCAGTGCATTAGCACCTTCACCCCTAATAAACAGAATCGCAGAATAGCTTGGGTTGGACCTTAAAGCCCACCCAGCTCCAGCCCCCTGCCATGGGCAGGGACACCTCCTACCACACCACGCTGCCCAAAGCCCCATCCAGCTTGGCCTTGAGCACCTGCAGGGATGGGGCATCCACAGCTTCTCTGAGCAGCCTGTGCCAGGGCCATACCACTCTGATCAAAGAATTTCCTCCGTGTATCTAACCTAATCCATTCTCTTTTTTACCTCTTATTAAAAGAATGACTGTTGCTGTTTTTCAGATCAACATAAAAAAGAATACAGGCACCAAACTCCCTTTTCACCCTGCTGCACTAGTGATAACACACAATGTACTTTAGTTTGAGCACTGAGCAAGCATTCTTAGAGAAATATTTGTTTTCTGACGAAGAACATGCATAGGCCTTATGTCAGGAGTGGAAAGAAAAGTCACAGATAAGAACACCATGTAATGTTAAGAACTGGTCTTTCTAGGAATGTATGAGATGCATAAACAGATTGCAATTTAAGAAACTGAGAGCACCTTATACCAACAACTTATCAGTTTATCAACTGACCTCTGACTTCACATCAAAACAGAAGTATTGAATAATGCATTCTTAAAACATAACTTTGCCTTGATTCCATTAAAATAGTCCCTAAGAAAAGCCCTCAATGTGGTGCACATTACTAGATTCAATACAGTGCTTTCATCTGAAAAAAATAAATAAATTATGGCACAAAGAACTCAGAGGTAAGATTATTTTGTAAGTAGGTACGTTTAAAAAAATTTGCACACTTCTTTTGCCTGGAAGCATGAACTCTGCTCATTCTGACTATACGGGGAAACTGGCAAGTGCCAGTTGCCTTCCTAAGACACGGGCAGCACAAAGTGTTGAACTGGAAGAGTGTGCTTTTGAAGCCAAAGGCTCCAACTCTGAACTGCTGAGTCACAATACACCACCAAACGGCACAAGAACTTTTAGGAGTCAACAATTCTCAAGAGGGAGATCAAGATAAAGAGATTATTGTTTACCTGCCAAGAAACGGCCCCCAAAACAGCAGTTGCAACAAGGCTGAAAAATACTAGCTGTTCTGAAATTAAGCAGAAGTGACGCATTCCTTTGGATGCCATAACTCTGTCGAGGCTGTTGTTTTCTGCACGGTGGGTATAGTATATCTTGTGACAGTCATTTAGTTTTGTGTGAAATCCCCAAAGAGTTATAAAAAAAATCACGTGACAGATCATCCAAAAAATTCCAAAAATAGAAAAACCAGGTATCACAAAATACCAGAGATCCAAATCGCGCAGCTTAAAGGCGGCAAGGATGAAAAAGATCAGTTCAATGACTCCAACTGAGATGACAGAAAGCCTTCTGCAAATCTTACCACGGTACAGGTAAGGCTTCCATCGTTCAGTAACAGAAAGTCCACTGAAGTAAACGTCGAGAAGGGGATCTGAAATCAGGCAGCTGAAGAAACAGGCCAAGGCAAATGGGTTTGTGGGAATGTGCAGCGATGGAAAAAAAAGTAAGGATGTAATGGCTCCAAAAATTGCCAAATTTGGAATTGCCAAAAAAGACTTCATACGTAAGTCAATAATTAACACGGCCAAAGCCATAACCAAGAGAATGATACTCATAGATTCTTTCACCAGCATCGTTGTGCTGGCAATTGCAAACCCAACTAGCTCCAAGAACTCAACTGTTGTCAGCAGAGTTGGTCGATGATGGATACAACCACAAATCCTCTCAACCAAAGCACACAATACCCTTAAAACAATGGCAGAAAGGAGCAGATATTTAGTCGCTTCTTCTTTCACATCATCCTTGAAGGCAGAATTATTAAGAAAACAGAGAAGGCCAAGCAAAAAACCAAACCAAAGATTGGAGAGACTCAAACTTGCTGTTTCCATTGAAAAATAGTAGTAGAGTATGCTGGCAATTCCAAGAACAAAGAGTCCCAGAATAAATATTACCAAAATCAGTGCATCTGCAGTTTTTTCCCATCTGACATAAAGGCCCATGCAAATGGCAACCAATAAGTTGATTCTGGCAAGATAGCCCAGATATCTGACCGATGAATGCATGTTCACTTCTCTGTTTGCTTCTTCTAGCCTTGTCATTGCTGCGTAGAGACAATGACTAACACAGTAACGCAGTGACCTACACATGTAAACTGCAGTTAGGGGGTTTTACCCACTTGACCGAAAGAAAATATTTGGGTTTCATCCAACAAATGCAATGTAACAGCTGTCTTCTGTAATATCATTGCAGTAACAGTGGTCCAGAATCACTGAAGTCCTGGAAGAAGAATTAAAAGAAGCATTAGTGGCAATTAATTCAATTTAATCATACACAGCATAAACATGACACATTCACTTAACATCTAAATTAAAAAACACATAATGAATATCAGGGAAGTCTATTCTCAAGAGTCAGTCAAATTGGGGTCATTATTAAAATAAATTTATGTGAAAATCATATTATAATTTCATAATTTGAACATATGAAAAATTTAAACCAAACCTTGCCCATTCAGCTTTTCAGTAACACCCATTGAGTATCTATATCGGATATCTACAGGTATCCAAAATAGTCTTATGATACCCATTACCTTCTAAAACATTTCTCCATTGTTTTAAAGCATTGTTTTATTTCAGCACCACATTTTACAAGTTCTCACTTTACACTGAACATTTTTGGTATGTTTTGCAAGACTTCTTTTTAGTAGTTGAATAGCTACAAGGGTTTACAAAAAGAACTTCACAATCAGTTAATGAGCTTCAAAACACAATAGATCACAAAAAAAGCAATTATCATTATCTCCACTTCTGGGAAGGCGAATGGATACACAGTTTATCAACTTGTGTGGCATTCAACATATTCAGAGATAAAATCCAGCCTTTTTTTTTTTAACGTCAACTCAAAGCCTTTATTTGCACCCCTGCGAGACACTTTTTCCCTACCAAAAAGACACACAAATAAAATGAACAAGATAAATATTATATTTAGAATGTATGTGCTCCTACCCAGACCCATTTAACCACCGGTTTTCTTTTCAATATAGTATAGGAACACATAATATTTATTTTTTTTTGGGGGGGGGGAGGGGTTGCAAGAAAACGTGGCTATGGATATATCCCTTGAGATCATCAATAATTTACAGAAAATGTTTCTTCCTGGTCTGAACTGGATCTTGAAACACAAAGATTATTCTAATTCTACTGGTGTTTAATTTTATTGAGTTTACACATAAAGAATAGCATTCATTTCCATAATTAGAAACAAAAGTTCTTGAGGAAATTCTATTTCCACCAAAATCTGTATTTCACTGTATTTAATGATAGTTTTCTACTTCACACAATGTTGTCAGAGGCAAAGTTCAAAGTTCTCTTGTTAAAGGCAAAAAAGGTTTGTGCTTCAAAGCCATAACTGCTCTGTATGCAGAATGTGTTAGAAGCAACAAACTGGTAAGAGTTACTCCAAGAACAAGCTTTCTGAGAGCTTACAGGTAAAGGAAAACACACGTACTTCTGCTTTTTGAGCATTTTGCACCTAGAAAGTCTAAACCAGGAGTGACTGAATAAATAAAACAGAGCCTACACCTCCAGAGAAAGTAAGACAGAAACCAGCAGGTGGATCAGAAGAAAATAAAGAAACAATACAATCAGTATCAATATTTTCCCTTGCTAATTTTCCTAAGAAGCATCACAAATTCGAAAGGGCTCCAGAACAAATTCCCTTAGCTAAAACTTACTGAAATCCTGTGTAATAATTATATTTACGTATAACGTTTGTTTCACAATGTATTAACAAAATGTTTATCTCAGAGTACAATTAGATAAGTTACTGGCAATCTCCAGCAAGTAAGAAGACTCATTTGTAGCCTCTATCATTTCTGAAGTAATTACCTAATTGCCCATCTTTCAAAGACTTCTGAAGAGTTAATGGTACGAGAGAGCAGATAATGCCTCGAGAACACTTAGAGCTAGTGTTATAGCTTACTGCTTTCATTTATAATGCTGAGGGAAGTATTAAAGGACACTTTGACTGAAACTCCTAAGACTTCGTTCTCTCTCTTCATTTTTATATTTATTATTTTTTTTAAGTCAGTGAACAACAAAAGTGTGGGACTGATTTGCCTATCTGCTTTGGCTTCTCTGAAGACTGACACGCCGTATCAAACCAGCTTACGTAACTGGTGCAGTGACAAACCAGGCCTAGGGAATCCTAGTTTTTAAATTTGAAAATATATATTATCAATATTAAGTAATTATCTTAAATACCTAAGATACATTACAAATATTATTTGGAAAGAACTGTACTTTAAAAGTCTGTTTAATTAAAACAGCATACATACGAACTACTCAAAAGGGATGGTTATTACACAGTGCCATTACAAGTTCAAGTTCTTTGAACTTCAGCAATGCTTTTTCTTAGCTCTCATTACTATTAATGTTTGATACATATCAATTTAATTCTGAACTGCCTAGACACTTAAGATCTTGTAATATTTCTCCCCTCACCTAGTGGAATACTTTCAACCTTTCCTTTATTTCCTACTTCATACAGACAGCACAGCTCAGTTTGCTATCATATTGCTGGTGGCACTATATCAGGTTATTACAGCACTGGTTTCGCTCTTGTATTCCTGTAATACAAACAACACTCACGTTACAGACAACCGGAGCCATTTATTTAAACTCCTGCGTGTCTTCTCCCCCCACACCAAAGTCACCAGTTAGCTCACATTGAAACTGTGAGTATGGAGGTGTGATTTCATGTTTTCTTCCCTCTCTCAGTACTGATACTTGACTGCTGCTATGTTGTCCCATTACCTCGCTCACTGAACCTTTCTGGAATCCCTCCGAGACGAGGGACTGCTGCTGCTGTAAGTGTGCGTGCAGACAACAGCCTCACACAACCCACCAGACCAGCCCACGTACAAAAGGCGTAAGCTCCCGACGAATATCCAGCTTAAAATTCTGCCGCTGTCACTAAATCCTTTTTGGGTAGGATCAGTGCAGAAGCAACACCACCACCCCCCAGCAGGCAAGCAGCCACTCTGAGGGGCAGAAACCCTCTGCCCAGTTCAGCGCGTTGCTGGCAGCAGGTCATGAGAAATGTGGCACAGACGCTGCTGGTGCTGCCATCGATGTGCCTGCACAGGGTGCCAGGGCAGGAAACACACGCGTGTTTGGAGCAGAAAGGCTCAGCAAGCGCTGAGTTATCTGCAAAGTGACAGCTCGGACCTTAAATTTGACCTCCTCTTCCTGGCTTTCCGCTGAATCTGCAAAAAGATGGGCTAGTAAACCCTGCTACTGACCGTGAATGTCCTCTGAACCAAATCATGTGGTCAACTTTTTGGTCAGAAGAAGAAAAAGTAGCGTTTTTGTGGTTTACATATCGCATCTCGCGGATATCACCAACCTGCAGTAACACAGCAACTCCAATGGGAAACTCCTAGAGCCGATTTATTCTTTACAATGCAACTCTTCGCTACTTTTGTCACTTGTTTGTGCTTATATTTTGAACAAAGACAGTTCAAAGTTTACTTATTTATTTATTTTTTCTTCAAAGTAAGGGCCTTAATGTTTCAGGTTGCATCATCCGCATTAAATGTTTGAGCAAATCGAACTTGGACACAAAGCAAACAGAATGCACGCCTTTCTTTTTAAACGCTCATCAATTTTCGCAAGCCTGCGGTTTTAAACTGAACCTGAACCCAGATCTAAACTTAAGCTCAACTATCCAAGAGCCTCTCTATAGATACTCAGGAGCAGCGTTCCCAAAGCAGTTTTTAACGTGATTTGCAGGAATCGCAAGAAAAGCCCAGGAAAGCAGCTTTGGCAGCGTACCAGCAGCTGGCTTCGAGTTTGGGTGAGACCTCTGGAAACTGGACAGTGACAGTCTCTTGGCTGGAGCTGGCCTCCTCTTTTATTCACCCACTTTCGCCCAAGTTTACAACAAAAGCAACTCCGGGAGACTTTATAAACCAAAAAAGCAGTATTTATGCAGAGCATCACCTGAGTGCCTCAGGCCGCCGCGGGCACCCGTCTCGGCCAGGGCAACGCACCCAGGGGGTCCCGGCGGGGCACCACCACCCGCCCCGACCCCAGCTCCCCAAATCCCCCTTCCCAGCGCCCAGCCCCTCCTGGGGCTCCCCGCCGGGCCGGTGCCGAGCCCCCCGCGGTGCCCCGGCCCCGCCGTGCGCCCCCTGCCCCCGCCGGCCCGGCCTCACCTCCGCGGGCGTCCCGGCCACTCCCCGCCCCCCCGCGCAGCGCCGCCGCCATCTTAGGCCTGCGGCGGCCCCGCTACGGGCAGCGGGGAGGCTCAAACGGCGCCGCCCGGGCGCTGCCCGAGCCCCGGGCCCGGCCCCTGAGAGGGCTGCGGGGGATCCCGGGAGGCTGGGGCGAGGTGCTGGGGGGGGAGCGGGCAGCCCCGCCGCTCCCTCGCGGTTAGAGGAGGCGGGGGTGGAGGTGCTGAGCCCCCCCCGCAGCCATCACGCAGGGAGAGTCGAGCAGCGGGGCGATAGGAGGGGGAAACGCGCCCTGCCCGGCACACAGGCACAAAATGGAAGGCGGGGGGGGGGGGGGGAGGCAGCCGGACACACGCCCAGCCTGCAGCGGGTGCTCGGGGCACACAAGAGGGAACGCAGATCCTGGACGGACTCGTTCCTCCCAAGCTAAAAGGCCACCCCCTTGTTTTACACAAAATGCCAGCCGTGTTTCATGCACAGCCCGCCTTGGCAAGCGCAGCCAGGTGGGTGCGAGGAGAAGCCCGTAGACCCTAACGGTGCCACTGCCCCCACTGCCCACACAGGCACAGCAGCGGGAGCGGAGCTGGAAGCGGAGACAGGCTGCAGGCTCCTGGCCCTCCTTCCTGGCACCCCTCCATGGCGGGTAACCCCCTGCTTCCCGCAGGCAGTGCTGCCTGGCAGCCGCTGGCCACGCCAAGAGCTGGAACTTGGTCACGCTTTCTCTTCTTCCCGAAGCTGCTGGGCAGCTGAGTCACAGGAACCCCTCCTAAACCCTCTTCCAAATTTAAATAAAACTACCCAATACTCTTAAAAATTATTATTTTAATCTGTTTCCTTTAGAAGCACCTGCTACAGATGCTGTGATAGCATCATGAAAAACTCCTACTTAACACTGTGTTTCTTTAACTTAGGGATACACTTCAAGCAACTACTGGTTGAGCTTCCTAGATGACACTTTATTTGAAACGTAAGAAAAAGCAACTAAGTTTCAATGCAAGTTTGCTAAATGCAACCCTTCTAAAAGTCTTCCTGCTGTTCCACAGGTATAAAACAATGAATTTAAAGTGAGAATAAAGGAGCAGGAACCTGAACAACCCAACTTTGCAAGGAATCAAAGATGCACTGTGCATTAATGGAGGTATGATTAAAAGTACTTTTAATAATCACTTCCAAAGGCAAGTCAGCAAGTCTCCCTGAAGCAGAAAAGGTTAGGAAAATTCTGTGAAACGATGCTTTTTAATCTTCACTGTTAAGCAAGGGATCCAGAATACATCAGCTAAGCTCCACAGTGCTAGGGGCACACTTAAGTTCTGCTGAAATTTAATTTTCTTACAATTTTGCCCTGATTACGAGCCTTGCATTTTCAGTTCTTTGGATTGCTTTTCCCACTGCCATCCTTTCACAGCACCTGCACAACTCAAAACCATCATGTGGAGGAATACAGGGATGACTTCAAAGGGCAAACTTACCGCAGCTGCTGCAAAGATATTTCAGAAGGACAGAGGGGAAATTAAGAACCTCTATAATGGAAAGAGGAACTCTATTACTAAGTGGTCACACTATAAGTAGGCAGAAAATAAATATGATACAAAATCAACTAGAGGAACTCCTGAAAGATGTCCATAAAGCTCATGTCACAACTAAGATGTAGAAATTTAGTACATGAGTTTCAACTTAACTTCTTTACTAGATTCCAGTTTATAAAACAAACCCAGACAAACCCAAGTGTTTTCTTGAAAATAAGAACTATGCATTGGTTTTATTGGGCTTCAGTGTAAACCAACTGCAAGAGAAAAAAAAAAAAAAAACAGAACACCCACATATCAAAGAAACAGGTCTTTTTTTTTTTTTTAATAAATGTGCTTTGTTCACAAAAAGTAGTGACATGAAGACAACAAAAATGCAAATACACTTTTTTTTTTCTTCTCCAGCACCTTAAGAACGAGAGATTTGTGTCATCTCTTGCCCAGTCAAAATTTTCAAACATTTCATAACCTAGAAACATTCCTCTTGCACCAAAGCGAAATATCCAACAACTCCCACTATCACTAGTATTGTTCAGGGAGGTGTAAGTATTTATGCAAAACTGACTTTCATTCTCCACAATTCACTGTCCCTTGTAAAAAACAAAAACAAAACAAAAAAACACTTCAGGTATTTAGAATAAGCAGCAAGAAAACCAAGCTGTTACAAATCTCAGGTCCCTAAACCACAAATACAATGGTGTCAACAAGCTGCCAAGAAGGCCTAGAATTTAAATAATTATGTTTTAAACTCTTTAAAGATAAATCTTGGCTCATTTGTATGAATCACAAACCGATTTACATTGGCCAATGCCAACATTTCTGTCAGCTGGTACACAACTTTTTTTTTTTAGAGGAATATAAATTAAAATGCTAGGCAGACTTCAAAGCATGTGCAGATTAGATTTCTAAAAAACAGATGAATTTATAGCACCAATAGTTTAACACTAGCATTGCTGGAGTCAGTGAAAGAAGAGAGGTTTTGACTGATGAATGTTTTAGTGAAATGGTAAAGCAGTAGATGCAAACACTGAATTACAGCTGGTTTTGAATCTGTTGTATATTTCATTAGGTATTTTCCATAAAAATTAAGTCAACCATAGTAACTTGTCCTTTTTTTTTTTTTCCTAAACACAAGCTGTATAGGTGTTTGGTTTGTATACAACTATATCATTCAGATTGAATAACAGTTTTGAATCAGATGTTTGGGTACACTTTAAATTTATGAAAAGAGACACAGAAAGCTTATGTTTAAGAATAAAGCATTGCAGTCCAGTTCGTGTTTGAGTGTAAGCAGGACCAATACAGTATGACTCTTTGTAGGAAATTGTATACAAGAAAAAACAGACAGGTCAAACTGGCACTTTCAGTGCAAAACTTCAATGGAAAGTTTCCATTTTTGTAGCAACTACTGTTAAATCCACACTAATACTTCAGTTTGCCTGGTAACATCTGTATTATAAAAACAACATGGCAGATTGAAATGGTGTAAGGTGTGTTTCCAACTATGAAACTTTACACTGTATTTTCTACCATGTTGCTGCTGTCAGTCTTAAATCCATGATGTAGCACCTAGTTCCAATCATTTGTGATAGGCACTCACTTACAGATTTTAAAGCCTAACATTCAAATTTGAAAATTCTGGTCATTTTTAAATAGAGGGCAATCTAAGCTAAAGTAATACTGAATCCTCTATTTTTAAATGCTGAACAGATTTTTTTTTTTCCTGCAAAGTACTCACAAATTTATTACACGATTTAAAAAACTTCATAAACATAAACCACTTGGTTTACCTTCTTACAGTGCAGACCAGTTTTCAGACAGCTATGGGGTTTTCATTTAACTAAAACAGAAGACTGGGGTCCAAATAAGCAAACAAAATAGTGTATGTTAACTTCACTTGTGTGGTCTGAATATGTCTTTTGTGCAAATACACATGTCCTTGAAAATCTTGTGAAAATGTTCCTTTTTTATTAAACAAAATCAGTCTGTAGTTATCATACAATTGTTCTTAATTGTAGACCACCCAACTTAAAGTTTGTTTTAAAACACATAAATAATTTACTTTAAAACATGACAAAAATCCCACCACCACTCCCCTCCCCCCAAAAAAAAAAATTGAAAAAAATACAGAACACATTGGGGAAATACTGATGTATGTTAGTGCTTGTACACTGAAAATTGCAAAACCATATTCCAGCTTTTAAGTGAAACAATTGTCTAGACGTACCATACTTCTCTGTGTCTGGGGGATAACCTCTTCAGCAATCTCACATCTATCTGCTCTTTATGCAATGAAATTACACAACATGTATAACTATGGATTAATATATTCCAGTGTTTTGGTGTTATCTCAAGAGGGCTGCAATTAAAGTAAAATTAAATGTGCATTATAGTTTCTCCAGCCCAGGCTTAACCAGAGCAAAAGAAATTTTGGAAAGAGAGCTTTGTTCCATAATTAAAAAGGGACATGTGTAACCAAGCATCTTAACCTATCTGCACATTTAATTAAAGTGCAAATTATTTCTTCCTACGTATACTTCTCAGAAGCCCACCAACTCCAGTGCCTTATGCTCAACCACATTAAGAGTTAAAATATTGAAACAACATTTAGCAAATTAAATAGTATTCACACTTCACAGCACTAAAGAAAAGAATGGTACCTTTCTGGAAGAAAATTAGTGATACATATTCTAAAGAAAGTAACAGCAATTTATGCTATGACAAGAGTCATTTGCATAAAACTTGTATTTTTTTCACTTTCATACAAGAATAGATTTTAAAATTCAAAAGTAGAAAAAAATAGCAAACTCTGTAAACTGTTGCATTTTCTTTATGCAAACCGTTGTTGTGTGTTGAGCCCACGTTAGTATAGCAAAATTAGTTAAGCAAGAGGTTTTTGACTTAGCATGTCAACTACTACATTAACTTAGAAGCAATATAGGATCTTCGAGCTCATAAAAAGGAATTGAACTAGACTGGCTTTCT